TAGTTTGAGGACAGGGAAAAGACCTGTCCTCAAAGGTGGTGACCAGAAGAAAATAAATGGAGTGTTTAGAGTCATGTAATTCAAGAGGACAAAAGTACTTTAAGAAGAAAGCTATGGTCAGTTGTGTTGAAAACCACTGGGAATAAGATAGCCATTGGCTTGCCAGGAATAGCAAGCAATATAAGGCCACTATTCTTAGAAACTGATCATTAACTCTTCCCACTGACTTCTCTCTTACTGTTAAAGAAGGGAAACTTCCTGATGATCAACAGACTCTTCCTGTAATCGTACTCTGATCTCATCTGACCAGATTAGAGAAAGACTAGAGAAATGAAAACTGAAGTTTTCAATGATGTTAGCTCCCAAGCTTTGAAAGAGTTCAGCAATCTCAGTATGTATTGAAGCTTTCAGAGAACTCCTTCCTGTGACATTTCCTTCTGGTATAAAGTCTCTTTGAAAGGAAAATGTGCTCTTTAATGCAGTCAGCTTTTCTTCTCCTGCTTCTAGCACTTTCTGCAAGAAAGCCATTAAAGCATTCTTGCACAGCCAGCTCCTTCTCAAAAGGTCCCAAAATGAAATTCCTCATTAACATGAGAAAATGAAATCTGCTACTTGGAAAATGTCACCTAAATATAGCCTTCCCCAAACTGTCCTATGTGTTTGAAATGGGTTCTTCCCCCTCAAGATCTTATTATTCAGCAGAATCAGACAAAGGCCTTTTTCTTTAGTTTCACTTGTGTCTCTGTCAGAATTAGCCTTTGTTATTTTAGTTGTATTCTCTTCTTCATTTGCTACTGGGGAACCTTACATTACTGACGACTCTCAGAACACAAGCATGATGTGTAAGGATGAAAGGAACCAACCCTGCTGTGAGTTGTGTGTGGAGTTGTGCCCTGGATATTTAATAACGTTTGTTGCAATATGGGTTGCATAACCAGCATGAATTATTTGCAGCTCCAGAGCAATCCTAAACCAACAATGATTAAGAAACATTTTCATAATTCCACATTCAGACCGAGTATCCTTAAGTAAAGATCTTTCATAATAAGTTAGATTCCCATTTATCTGGAATAATTTAGGTACGGTCCTAAGGGAATGTAGCATGTTCTTTGGGGTAGCTGTTGTTCCAAATCTAGTTCCTTTAAATAATCATTTTTAAAGCCTCCTTAGAATGACAGATTTTACATGTAATTTCAAAATTCCTAAAGTGATTCAGCTGAAGAGTTGCTTTCCCTTTGCAATATTCCAAAGTTGTTTTTAAAATTTATTTTGGAGTATTTTTTTTAAAAAATCTCTATTAATTTCATTGGAAGATATTATATAATCCTGGCTTCATATAGATCTTCTGATAACATATGGAAGTGGAAAACAGATGCGGACCAGAGAGGAATCCGGGTCCCTGTCCCATGAGGAATCCCTGTCCTGTCCCTGTCCCCATCCCTGTCCCGTGCATCTTTTCTCACCAGCAGCAAATTTTGTTTTTTGTTTTTTTCCCCAGCTATCCAAAGCCTCTTCGGATGTCTAGATGTCCAACCAAGGATTAAATATCTGCATCTCTCCTAATGATCTTATTCTGTTAGTGTTTCTATGATTACCCAGAATTAGAAGAAACAACTCTGCAAACTTTTTTTTAAAAAAAGTACAAAAAGAAGATTAGGCTTAAAAATGATGAGACAATATTATTTTAATGAATGCATCTGACTCCATGTGGCCACTAATAAACTAAACCACTTAGGGATTTTACAAGTAGATTTGATTATAACTAATTTCTTTTTCATAGAAGAGACTATAGTAGTAACTCTAATTGAAGCATAAGCTTTTTGTTTAATGAACAATTATACTTGAAAACAGAAGACCAGGTCAAAGCATAAATCATTGAGTTGCCAGGGGTGTGTGTGTGTGTGTGTGTGTGTGTGTGTGTGTGTGTGTGTGTGAATTTCCTAGAGATGGAAAAACTAAATGTCAGAGTCATATCATCATTTTTGAATTTTACATTCATCTTTTAAAGAATTCACTTCTCTATTCATCTGTAGTACTACAGCAAAAAAAGAACTTTTAAATTATCCAAAGTAAACTTCCATAATAAGAACTTTTTATATTGTGAAAATACCATACAGAGGGGTTACAATTACATGGGCGAGGTAATGAGTACATTTCTTATCAAGCATTGTTGCCTCCTCCTTTGTTTCTCCTTCCTATCCCTTCCCATCTCCCCCCCGCCCTTTATTGCTATATTTATACACCAAAATGATTAATATAGTGATTTGGGCAAAACAAAAGTGATTCCATTCCACTTTATAGGGCCCACATTAAAAATTCTAGCTCATCAAGTGCTATTAAAAAAAAAGACTTCTAAATATTACATGTAAGCCTCCTAACTTGCTGCCCTTTCCATGACCTTGCTTCCTCCCACTTGTGGCTAGAAGACTCAAAACAGTAAATTTGGAGTTGGGAGATGTAAGGATGTGGAGGAAAGTTTCATAAGAACAAACAGTTATTATTCATTTAGCTATTTTACACTACCAGATATTTTTCTTTTGAAGTATAATCTCCTGCCTTCAACAAGAGAGAATATATCATACAGTGTATGCACTAGAGAAATTAAGATGATGGCCAGCAGACAGCACCACTTAAAACCAAATTGTCTTTAATTGGTGTGAACTTGACGAAGACCTAGGGAGAGTGGCTTGCAGATATGCCAGTGAAGCTGTTTTGCATTTACATTTGATAAGACTCTCATTGGGGAAGCATAAAGCAGATGTTTGGTTTTTTTTTGCTATTAACCCTAATGTCCAGATGGTTAGAACTTCCACACATGCATACACATGTACATATAAGTGCCTTAGCCATCGCTACATTTCACATGAGTTTAGTAGCCTATCATTTCTACTTTGTGAGCTTTGGTTGTATCATATTGGTTCTGGAAAGAGTCCAAATGCAAAGTCATTGGTGGTATAGACATAGAGAACTGAGGGTCAAGCGTGTGCATCATTTCTATTCTGGATTCCATCTGGGATTCGCTTTGGGAGAAAAAAACCAAACCAATCAACTAGGTTATCCTATATCTTACACGTGTGAGAAGTGATGGAGGCCACAAAGGCCTAAACTAAGTTTAGGAATTATCTGTGAATCTGAGCGCGTTTGGCATCTTTACCAAATGGACTATTTTACAGCTGGGGTTGGAAAATGACAACCCACAAACCAAGCCCAGACCTTCCACCACCATTTGGGGGAAGGGGGAGACAAGAGCGGAAGACAGTCTCACTCATTTGATTATATCTTTTACAGAGCTGAGTATATGACAGAGTTGATTGGTTGGAACAGAGACTACATGGCCTGCAAAATCCAAAAGATTTACTATCTAACCTCCTACAAAAAGCTTGCTGACCCTTGTTCTGTTATGGTAGTCATTGAATAGGGCGATTACAGGTAACACTACAATAGTCCTTAATGCTTAGGAAAAATCAATAGGGTGCAGTTCTTTCTGAGATCTGCCCATCTTTTTTATTTGAAAACAAAATTGGCTTCTTCATTATTAAAGAAGTATTATTCATTACACTATGTCAAGTTGATACAATAATCATTTGCTTGTATTTCTGCCTTAGATTTTTTTTAGTGGCTTACTATGCATTTCTCTTTGTCTGCACCTGTTCTCTCTTATTAGATGACTCTTTAAAAGTAGCTGGAGTCCAGCCTCTCTGGGAAGGTCTCTAGCCATGCTTCAGGGTTTCTTTGTGTGATTTGGAAAAGGCTGGCCCTCTCAGACCACTTTTGCTCCACATGAAGCCCAGGCTCAGACCCAGTGAGCATCTTTGCTGTGTTTTCTTTCTACTGTGAAAAGTTAGGTTGATTTGCTGTTAGAATTTCAGTTTCCATGAACCAGAGATGAACCATTTGCACTTGCTAGGATTTAAAACTATAACTTGCTTATCACTTCTTTCCTTTCCTGCCAAAGTCAAGGTCAAGAAGCCAGGTTTGCATGCCTCCTCTGCATGATTCTCTGTGAGAAAGCAATAGGATCGTGGAAAAACTGTAAAAAATTATCCTCAAATTCTTTCTTTCCAAAGTATTATAGTAACTTTTTGAAAACATTAGTGTTTCCCTCTGGGCTTTTTCCCGTAGTTCTTCCTGCAAGGTCATTACAGTTATAGCCATGGTTGATTAATGGGAAGGAAAACTTTTGAATTTGGATGTTTTCCTACATTCTGGAGAAACTCAGAGAAAAAAACAAGTCCTTACTAGGATAGCTTCTTTCAGGGCAGTGGGAAGGGGAGGATGTTGAACAAAGTTGTGTGATTACCGAGCCTCTCATTTACTGTAACACGTCTGTGGGTTTAAATCTGTAGTGTGGTTTGCTCTATGATATAAAAAGACTTTGGAGTTCAGACTAATTCAAAGAATGTGTGAGAGACAGGACTGCACCATTCTTGGAAACTTACAAAAAAGAAAAAGAAGAAAAAAAACTCTTTATCCATATAAATAAATCTTGGGAAGCACATTGAGCAAAAAGGCAAAAAAAATTACAGAATATGAGATCCAGACTTTAAAAAAAAAATCTCCTTTTTATATCTCCCAAGGCTTATTTTGGTATAGTTTTTAGTATCAGTATTAGTCTGCTGTAAGAATAGCTGAATAGCCAGCATCCTGCAAGAGGCACAAGTGCTCGGATTTAGAGGGAGGAGGACCCATCGAATGCTGACTCTGAAGAGCCACCACTGGGTGTGCTGAGCAGAGACTAGGCAGGTGGTCTGAGGCTGGAATGTCTTGGAGCTAGAGTTCACATGACACTCACAACGTGAGCAATCTAATATCAGTGGCCCTGAGCTCATGAACTAAACTGTAGCTCCTTTCTCTCCCGGGACAGGGTGGAAAGGCCCTGAATACATCCTGGGACAGCTCTGGGCCCTGGAGGCAGGTGCCATGCAGCCCATCACCACCCTTAAGGTGGCCACCTGCCGGGGGCTTTTCTTCCTGACCTTTTGTTTGCTTACCGACTGCAGGTTCATCCCAGAGGCTTGGTCCACCTGTTCAGTCACTTGTGGTGTGGGGACCCAGGTGCGAATAGTCAGGTGCCAGGTGCTCCTGTCTTTCTCTCAGTCGGTGGCGGACCTGCCTGTTGATGAGTGTGAAGGACCCAAGCCGGCATCCCAACGTGCTTGTTACGCAGGACCATGCAACGGGGAAATTCCTGAGTTTAATCCAGATGTCACAGACAGGCTCTTGGGTGGCCTGCAGGATCTTGAAGAGCTGTATGACTGGGAGTATGAGGGATTCACCAAGTGCTCTGAGTCCTGTGGAGGAGGTAAGCAGGGGGCCCCTGGGCTCCATGTCCCTTTCTGTCTCTTCTGCATGCATCTATCTCACCTGACTGTTCTGGCTCAAGAAGGCTAAGCTGGGGAAAAGGGGAAGCAGCCATTCCAATTGTCAAGCAAGCATACTGAGTGTTAGACCTGGGGGTTTCTTTTAGCCTGAGTGGCTCTCAGACTGTCAATTGCCGTGAAAACACAGCTGATGCCTTTACTTTCCTTTGTCATTCACTGATGTTTTGCTCTCAACCTGCAAAGTTACTTGTCTCTGTTCTTGCCTCAGGACATGCAGAGTGAACCAAGATGCAGGGTGTGAATCCGATAGCCCCAAGACCAAGTTAGAGTCCCTCCCATGTAGTCAGCTGTTTCTCCAAACAAGAAGAAAGGATGTAAGAAAAGTGATCAGCAGAGTGTATACCTGGAGCTAGAAAATAACTTAATAATTAGTGTCTGATGCAACTGCATTTTTACAATGCAGAAGCCAAAGTATAGAAAACCAGAGAGACTTGTGCACAATCTCACAGCTAGTAAGTGACAGAAGGAACCCAAGCCAAAGCTTCCAAGCTTTCTTGTGTAAATTTTATTTAACTAGTATTAAATTCTCTTGGATATATTCTATGGTGATATAAAAATAATTTCACTAATTTTTTATTTTATATCATTGATGACTAATAGTTGTATATATACATTTATGGAATACAATAGGATACTTGGATATATGGATACAATACGGCAAGATTAAACAATGTTAATTGGCATATCCCTTCAATGATCCTTTGTTTCAGGGGTTATAAACAGGATTGTAGTAGAAAAATCAATTCTTCAAGATGGTAATCTTTCTTACCACTGTGGAAAATATATTTGATTTATATTGCCACTGTCTTCCAATATAGACATGTCCCTCGAAAGATTTGAGAGGTAAAGAAGTTCTAACCTATTCCTTGAAGAGTCATTGGCCAACAGTAACCCCTTTGGGCATGCTGAGCTTCCACATTCCCAGCAGTTTCTTACTTAAGCAGTGAGAAAGAGTAATACAATTGTTTCTCAAAACTGTATTCTAAACCATGACACTTGGGAAACTTTTAGAGAATGTGAGAATAAATGTGTTTCGGCTTTCACATGTAGCTAAAATGGAATGAATAGTCAACCAAGTGCTAGCAAAGAATCCATTTTCTCCAGCAGGTCCTTTAAAAGCATTTAATAGCCTTGTCCTTGACTTTCTTGTTTGTTTCCACATTTTCCAGTTTCAAGCCCTGGAATTGTGAAGTGTTTTAATGGAGACCCTTGGTATTTTAAAAATCTAACTTCTTCCAAATGATTCTTAAAGACTGCTTCCTGGAACAAATCTAATGTAACTGTATTCATATATGCACTTGAGTCACTTTGAAAATGTCTTTTCTTTCATGCGTAATGAGGGAGAAGTGTTAAATAAGCTTTGATTAACTCTCAGCCAAGCAGGAGCCAAGAGTGCAGAGAAAAGTCTTTCTGTAGCTGGTGGTTACAGTTGCTTCTTTTGTTTGTTGTATTTGTTTGGTTTTGTTCTTGCTTAGTTTATTTTTTGAAATAGGTTCATAACTGTCACCCAAGCTGGCCTTGAACTCTTGTTCCTCTTGCCTCAGTCTTCCAAATGTTGAGGTAACACAAATGTACCTCCCTGACCAATTGCTTCTTTTTAAATATAACAAATAATTCCAGATTCAGATGGTTGTATTTTCATTCCCTATTTCCATGATCACGTGATTTGAATGGTCATTATTTCTAGTCAAAAACAAATGTGCTTTGAAAAAAATTACTCCTGGACTCTCAGTTATAGTTCTCAGTTACAAGTCAAGCCTGGAACTTTATGAGCAGGTGGAAAAAATAATTGCAGTAATAAGATATATAAATAACCAGATACCTTTATCTTTAAGAGGCTAACTATTCTACTGACCAGCCAGGAGTTTAACATTGAAAGTCTAGCATATACATGGAATGTATTAGTTTCAAATGTTCTCAGAAGAAACCAATTTAGAAATACAATTTCCAGGATTGAGATACAATTGATCTCTTGTCGTAGGAACTGTCTTTGGGTAGCATAAATTCTGTGCCCTTTATATCTAAAGGAAGGAAAAGATACTAAAGATTTCCTAGGTCTTTATTGTCAACCAACAGTTATTGTATGTTATGTCACTTTGCCAAGGTCATATATTTACACCTAAAATGTTAGAGTTGAAAATTCCAAAGTGGTGAAAATATGCTTGGGTTTTATGGTCCATTTGATGCACAAAGGCATGAACAAATATTTCAATATATGAGACATACATGTTTGCAAGGCATTGTTTGCCAGTAATATTTTATTGTATTACCAACTTTGATCTTTCACCAAAATATAACCCACAAGATTATATATATACATATATATATTACTCATACCAACAAAAAACATGCAGAATTAACAAATAGCTTTTAAACCAATTTGCAGTTGTAGAAATAACCAAGCTGATTTTATTGTTTCTATAATCTCCAGAGATGAAATCAAATAGACCACAAAAGTAACCTTTCACCTAGCAAAGGTAGCAAGCAGAAGGAACTAGTTAGTAAGTTAGTTTGTAGCTGGGGTTGTGTTTCTTCGAACTGTCATCAAATATCATATAACAAATATGCCATTCTGGAGATATAAACACAGAAAATCCCATTTTCTGGAAGATAGAAAGTGAGGCTAACCTGTTCAGATCTGTGTCCTGTGTCTTCTTACCTCCTGATTTTCCATATGTAAGTTTATAGGTATTGTCAAGGAAACCAGTTTTGAACCTTAGCAGCTTTAGGATGTTGAACTCCTAGATCCTAAAACCCACATGAAAGTCTAGCTTTAAAAAATCTTGAAACTGACTTTAGCAAAAATGAAGAATGAAATCTGTGCCTATTTTTCCTTTTTCCTTATGAGTCCTTTCTCCCTTTACTTTTTCTCAAAAAAAGGACAACCTAAAATCATAGCACACTATACTTAAGCACAGACTCTATGCTGGTTTACCTTGTCAGTTTTAGGGCATTGTAGCCCTTATACAAAGGACACCAGCTTGATGCTAACATCCATCTTCATTCCTTGCTAATCTCTTCACCAGTATTATGATAAGGTCAGAGCCATAGTCCTACCAGTTATTCCTATGGTTCCCTACTCCAGGCAGCCATGCTTTCTAGTGCCTCTTCCTCTAGGTATTCCACTCTACATCCCTTGAACCTCAATTGCTTGCTGCTTGAGCACTCTGCTTCTTAGGGATCACATGCCATTACACAGGGGGTTGGCCAAAGATCTGGTCCCAGGTACTCTGTTTTAAGTTTTCCCTACCATAGAAGGCCTCATCTAAGAATGCCAAGGTAACTAGTCCGCTGACAGCAGAGACAGCACACGGCTGCAGAGAAAAGTAAAGGGAGAAAGGACTCAAAAGGAAGAAGGAACAATAGGTACAGATTTCATTCTTCTGTTGTTTATAATGCCCTAGATTAGAATTTCATAACTCTGCAATGATTCTTAATCTTTGCACTTAACTGCTCCATAAGTGATTTTGAACTTTGGCTATAATTAATGTCCTGCAGTAATATAAATTCTAAAAAAAGAGATTGCTAATAACTTTTTAGAAACTTAGTCCTTACTACCCCACCTTTACAGTCTTAGAAGAGCTTAAAACCTATTTTAAAAATAATTTACCAAGTTGAAACAGGTGGTTACATTCCTCACAATACCTAAAACAAGCATTTTCAAGATACATGACAAACCCCATGGTCAGTTTACTTCAGATCTTCAACCTACTCTGAAAAGGTTTCCAACAGCTGAATGAAGCCAAAATATATCTTATTTTAGAACAGCATTAAGTTTCTCTAAATGAGGGAGTCTACTCTACATAAATGCCATGACAACTGAATAGAAAACCTAACAGCAGCCCTAAGTTCTGTATCGGATAGGGAGGGACATCTAGTGGCTTGTCATCAAGGGAATGGGCGATCCCATGTGATATCTCTTGTGGATTGTTTCCTTTGTCATTACACTGTAAATTTCTAATGGCTCATCCCACTACAACTGGAAGATCTTCCTATAGTCAGTGGTATAGATGGAGAATATGATGGAGAAAGTTGAATATCCAACATAAAACTCAAATACTATACCCAGAACTGACCATCACATATGTAAATTAAATTAGGAAACTGTTCAAATAAAAAAAGAAAACAGAGGGAAAAAAACTGCAAGCCAAATATGGCAGGGAACATCTGTAATCCCAGAACCCCAGAGACTAAGGCAGAATTCCAAGGTTGAGACCGGCTGAGCTGTATAATAAGTTCCAGGATAACCTAACCTAGCCTACACAGCAAGACTCCAACTCAAAAACAGAAAAATAGAAAACAATAAAATAGCCACAGGACAACTACTGTGATTCAAAACAAAATAAAAACAGTGTTTGATTTATCATACTTAGAAAAAGGTAAGTAGATTTGGATTCTGGTTTTAGAATGTCACTTTTTAAATGATGTTATTGCTGAGTGACCTAGACCACTTCAGTATCAACTCAGGAAGCATTCTCCAGTGAGAACCTGGTGTAGAAACATTGGGTAGAGGGGAGAGCCAGCAAATAAGGCATATTGTGACAGGTACTGGTTAATGAAGAAGCAAAAACTAAAAGGGAAATATGTGATATTTCTGTATAACTCCATGGATAGTCACCAACTGCACTAACAACATACAAATACCTAACTATAGCTAGATATCTTTTGGTGTCTTGCTATAGATAATTATGTATGGCCAAAAGCAAATTAGCAAGAATGTCTTGTCTCATCTTTTCCCTTAAACTGAAGTCCAAACAAATGCCTTGGTTATTTCTGAAGATCTCCAGGGAAGCAGATAGGACAACCTCTTAGTATTTTTAAATGTTAATATGGTTGAGAACATTGCTAAGAACATAACAACCCTCAGCGTTGCCATTTAATAACTGTATGACCTCAGACAAGTCCTTTCACCCTTCTAAAGCTCTATTTCTAGTTTTGCAAAAATGGGATGGAATTGTTGAGAGGAATGAATGTGCTTGGCAAGTATTTAGCTATGCCACCTGGCTGGTGACAGACACTCTGTGGGTACTAGCAATGTTATTGTGACCATAAGCAACAGAATACAATGTCTGGTCAATGTACATATATGAAAATAGAACCAGGTAAATAGATGAGATGGATGGGGTGGAAGAGATAGGGGGAGGGAATGATGAGAGGGGTGACATTGATCAAGATGCATTATACTTATAAACTTGTTGAATTGAAACCCTTTTGTGGTAGCTCAGACCTGTAATTCTAACTACTAGTAGGCTGAGATCTGAGGATCATAGTACAAAGCCAGCTCAGGCAACAAAATCCGTGAGATTCTTTATTTCCAATTAACTTCCAAAAAAGCTGGAAATGGAGCTGTGGCTCAAAGTGGTAGAGCATTAGCCTTAAGCCTAAATGCTCAGGGACAGTACCCAGGCCAGACCATGAGTTCAAACCCCAAGAACAACCATTACCCCCCACCCAATACACATAAAAGTCTGGTCAATGTATCGCCCATTTGTGTTTCCCCATGCCATGAAAGTCTCCACAAGAGCTCCTGCAGATCACCTTAACAGACCTGCCAAGTTAACCTGGGCCAGTCACTGATTGAAATCCTGTTGTACTAATGTCAAAGTTGGGTGTACATCTGTCCCTTAGAACACTTTTCTCAATGGCTGTAGATACTATATATCTTATTCACTTTGCTTCAACACACAAAGTGACCCTGAATATGCTAAAGAAATGAACCAGAGTCAAAAGAAAATGAGTCAAGGCTGAAGTCTTGAACTCATGGCCCAAGAGCACAGTAGTTTACAGCATGTTAGATATTAAAACACGGCCTTGGGCTTTCCTTCCAAATCCAACAGTATCTTAATAACTGAACTATAATATATGAAGGTCTTGGGCACTTGGATTTTTTTGTTCCTTTGTATTTTTTGGTGACCTGTCACCCTAAGCTCCTCCTGTATTAAATTATCACATTTCAATATCAGTGGCTTTATAGGTTGGTGGCATTTTGAAGCATTTCAACATATCAGGAGCAGTCTATCCCTTGGTGGGGAGTTGTGGTCTTAAGGGCTGTGCCTATAGAAGCCACATACTTAGAAGCCTTTTTTGTACTGAGAATTTTTTTTATTCTTTTTGCTACCTGACATTGAACCCAGGGCCTTATACATGCTAAGCAACTGCTTAACCATTGAGCTACAATCCCAGCCCTAGATCGGGTGATGTCTGACAAGATTGGCAGTCTTGGGCTTTAAGCTACAACCTCTCACTTGTAGCAAGAGTCCTACAGATTACAGAGACCTCCCACCAACTGCCTTGTCTACACTTCATCACCCCCACACATGCCCACACTGCACTCTGGCCTGACAGTGTGATTTGTGCACAGGTGTCCAGGAGGCTGTGGTGAGCTGCCTGAACAAACAGACCCGGGAGCTTGCTGATGAGAACCTGTGCGTGACCAGCCGCCGGCCCCCACAGCTCCTGAAATCTTGCAATTTGGATCCCTGCCCAGCAAGGTAAGAGACGTGATACCTAAACTGCCAGGCAGGAGCGTATGCAGAACGGGTGCATCTCTCTATGGGCAAGACCGGAACACTTATTGTTACCCAGTGTTTTGAAAACCAATTAGCATCAGTTCAAACTCCTAGTCAAATCCACTTAAATTTAATTGAAACCAGGGCCTTGGAACTCCAGCCCAGTCAATGGTCATACACAGAGTCCAGAAGAGGGTAGGTACTGAAACAAGCTTATGGCATGGCTGGTATGTGCACATGTCACACTACTGCTTTTCCCTAAAGAGAAAATAAACTGACCACAGACTTCACGGTCTCTGCCACCTTCTAGCCTGTGTCCCACGCCCTCACACCACAGAAATGAAGTGGCTTGCAAATTACAGGGTCTACGGAACTGAAGCATCTGGGTGGTATAATTGACCCGCTGTGAAATCCGTATGCACACAGCATGCAGATTCATTATAGCATGCTCTAGGGGTGTATGTGTACCATTCCACATGCGTAAAATCAATTAGAGCATTTCATTGTTCAGCCCTGCCTGGGTCTCATTATTGCCCAACCTTGAGTCTTAGTTAATCAATCCAATCACTGCTTCAGTCCACATAATTTTATGGTGTCTCGAGAAATTTGCTTTTTAGGTACTTTCTTTGTGAGCAAACTTCATCCATGATTCTGGTTTAGAAGGAAGATGTTTAAAGAACCGAATATAGACTTTTCAGATTACTGATGGGATGAAAAAAAGTTATTAGATAAGGTCATATCCTAGATATGAAAAGAGTGCCATTTCTGAATGATATTTCTCTTCTTTCTGCAAAGGATATCACAAAAGAAGCATTTGTTGCTTTGGGGCATTACCAATAGTCCATTGGTAGATTCTTTTCTTTGTACATTAGAATGGAGCCATAGTATGGGCCTTCTCTATTCAAATAGAGACACAGTCCCATGTGCTAGCCCAGAGTTATTTGGTATATTGATCTGAACTGTGGGCCTGAGCTTTCCCTGTCAAATGTGGAAGCAAATAGGGTCACTACGACCACATGTTCTCAGACAAACAGAATATCAGCTAACCACTGCTTGGAGCAGTACCTGACCCACAAGAAGTAAACAGTAAAACAGTCAAGGTCTGGACCAAGCAAACTTCAGGTTCAATGCATAGAATCTTAAGGAGTATGAGTTTCTCTCCTTGCTACACCTGGTCCCATATATCTGTATTCACCCCCCAGATCTCCAGTTGAGTGAAGCTAATAACCAAGTGCAAACTCCTATATTTGGCCAAAGTCTATCTAATAAGCTGGAGTCTGCTGGGCCTTCAGCTAAGGGGTCAGGAGGCCTGGCCAATCATCCTACCTCTGTCACCAACTAGCTGTGCAGTCTTAGACAAAGTGACATTTCTTGTATCTCCATCTGCAAAATAAACTGATCATACAAGAAGAAAAAAGATCACCATGGCCTGGTCAAATATCCCAAGATTTTCATTATTCTATAGATGGAAACATCAGAGAGCTCATGGTACTTCTTTCTGCTTGTTTAATATCCCTTGAAAACAGGAAGGGTCTTGCTAGTCACATTCCAGTGTTATAGTAACATCCAGATGCTACAATGAACTGAGGCAATGCCAAAGATTCTACACCTGGGCACACCTGATCACTGCTAGGATCTGTGGCCAATAAACCTGTTATCTTCCTTAAGCAGTAGAAGTAATGGACGTAAACTGTTATTTCCTATCCTCAAAAGTGCTAACCATGGTTAAATTAGATAAGCCTAATTTACACTAGGACCTTCTTATTGACTCAGACAAGGACTGTTGTTGGGCTTAAGCTCATTGATTTCCCACCATCCAACTATAGGAAGGAAGATCTCTTACAATCATGGATTTCTTGGATTGACCATGCTCAGTAGAATGGTGCTAATTTAAACAATAAGAGGTGACAGAGCACTTTGGCTTGATATCACTCACCCTCTCTACCCTCTATCCAAAAGCCAAAGTAGATTTTCGTCTTGAAAATGAGGCATGTATAGCAATCTCCTTCCTGTGAAATATTTTAGTCTTATTTCAGCAAAATGAAATTTCCTTCTTCTCTCCTTGGGAGAAATGCATGAAAAAAGGAAATATGATTCGGAAAGGCACAACATTTACTGCTTTGCCACAAGCCTTCTGTCCATTTGGAACTATTTCCATCTTTTGAGTGGCCCCAACGTTCAGTATATATTGGGAGCCTTTAAGTCTTTGCTAATATCTATGTGTTTAAAAAAAAGATAATGAAATCTCCCTCTCTGTATAACTAATGTAACCTAGTAAAAAATTAAAAAGAAAAGCACAATGATTCTACAGGCCATACAGAAATCTTGTACATCTTGATTTTGGTTTCTGGGAAGATGGCCCCAGGCACCATGCTTTGCCAGACAGTTTCCAGTCCTACTGATTACTAGTTTAGAAGCTGATTTTTCTTCATGTTCGTTATCAGAGTTACCCAGTCACACACAATATACCAAATGCCTATAGGGCAAGAAGCTCTGCCTTTGGGGACAGTCTAAGACTAAAGTTGGCTCTTCCTGACACTTTGTATGAAGCGGTGCTTGTATTGGAAACACACAATTTGTACCAAGTTTGGCGTCTGTATTCTCATGATTGGTCATTCATGGCAGGAAGGATATATTCTCAGGTTATGATAGTTCTGAATTCTTGTAGCTTGAATGTGGGTATATGTGTGTGCATATGTGTAATACTTACATTTTAGAACACGTTTTTAAAAAAATAATTCTTTTCAAACACTGATGGCACACACCTGTAATCCTAGCTCCTCCGAATGCTGAGATCTGAGGATCATGGTTTGAGGCCAACTTTAGCAGCTAAGTCCATGAGAGTCTTATCACCAATTTACCAACAAAAATGCCAAAATTGGTAGGGTATTAGCCTTGAGTGACAAAGTCAAGTGAGAGAACAAGGTTCTGAGTTCAAGCCCCAGTATTGGTAGAGAAACATTGTATTTCTCTAATGAGGAAAACTGAATTTTAGAGTCATTGCTGTAAGCTTTATGTCTCAGTCTTCCTGTCTGTATCTCTGGCATCTAGGAATTGACATAAAGCAGGAGCGTATTCAATATGTATTTAATAAATGTAAATGAAAGACTTAGGCCATATTTCTAAGTAGCAGAATTGAGGTTCTAGTATTAATGATAGTTGGAAGATTTCAATGCTATCTCTCCTCCACCCTCTGTTACCTCCTCTCTCTCATCTTCCAGATGATGTGGAAAGTTCCATTATTGGACTCCTTTCTTTAAGCTTAAGGCCTTATATACCGAGGTGAAATATAAATTGCCTTCAGATTTACAATCTGTCATGTTATCGGCCATGTACCACAAAGTATCTCCAAAGGGTGCAAGGGTAAGCTTTGATACAGAGAAGGTAAAATTGCTAGCATTACCCAGGGAAGAGTTTGGTTGTCAGAAGAGTTGAAAAGCAGTATGTGCAGGACAGATGTTGATCCCTTTGCAACCCTGCCTCAAATTGGCCAAAGAAATTAGGTTCATCTTTGCTTGGGTGCCACTAGTAAGAATGTTCATTTAAAGTTGATAGCAAAAAAGTCATTGTTGAAAGAAAGAAACATCATTGGGGTCTAGAAGCCACATCACCTGCCAACCCTCTAGTGGTAAGTCAGACTGGCTCAAGGGGAAAAATATCCAGAAAGGAGTTAAGGTCTATCACTCAGTCTGCTGTTACCAATTTTTAAAAAGTTCTCTAAGTGCTCTAATTATATAGGTAACACACGAAGACTCCCATTCTTTAAAACTCAAGCCCAGCACAGGTAATCAGTGAAGAAAGCGTATCACTTACTACCCTTTCACCGGTCTTTTCCTCGCTGAAGTCATAACCACCACTAATGCTTTGCTATATCCACTACCAGACTTTGTCTATGAATTTATATTCATTTATGAACATATGTATAGCTATAAGGCTGTTTCCTCTATCAGTGAGATCTTATTATATATTACTCATTACTGAGGCCTTCGAAGCAAGAGTATTGGCAGATAGATTTAGACCTTTGGTCAAATCCTGTTCTGTCACTTTTATCAGTCTAATCCTTAGGAACCTTTTTGGATCTTCATTTTGTTCATCTTTACAATAAGATTACAATCATCACTGAAGATCACACTAATCACAAAAAAAAACAAATTCTTTCCTTCTTTCATTTCTTTTTCTTTCTTTTTTGGTGAAAAAGGTTTCTAATTTAAAAGAAAGCATGATTTTGTTAAAAAACTTCCAAGATTTAAATTTGATTAAATTTTGTTTTCATTGAACTAACTCTTAATAATTAAGTTCACTTATCTCCCTGGTTTATAATAGCAATGACATGAGCAGCCCAAGAAAAAACAGAAAGCACTACCTTTTAAAAAAAAAGCATATGACTGTTATTAATTATAAGCATTTGATAGCTTGGCCAGTGTGTGTTGAAAAGATTTGGTAAATGTACGTGGAGGAGGGGAACGAAGTAAGCAATGAAAGCCAGATGGCTAAAAATGAAGGAAATTCCAAGCAATTTCTGCAGCTTTGTTCTAACATACTTTTTAAACTAAACTTTTATTTCTGTGCAACAGAGAACAGCTGAGTGGTACCGAATAGATAAACACTGGGGAGGGGAGAGCTCATAATTCCAGGAACAATACTTGATTTCTTCCCTCCCCTGCCTCCACCCCCTGCTGCATCCTCAGTCTCTTTGCTCAGACCTAGGATGGTTCCTAGAGCCAGCAAGAACCATTAAAGAAGCTTCAGAATCCTTATTTGAAAAAGAGAAAGTTCAGAACAACATCTTAAAGGTCACAGAGTCTTCTCTTTAAAAAGCACATTTCACAATGCCCATTTATTGGATGCTAACAAAATCCATGCCTACTAGCAGCCCATAATTTCCAATTTCCAATGTGCTTTTATATTAGCTTACAATGGCAAGAGCAGAAGGTGCTGCCTTTTCACACAGCCATGTTTTCATTTTGTTGATGGAGATTTCA